CAGGAAGTATAATGTTATTGTACTTAGGCTTTTTTATAGATGTTCTTTTTCAGGTTGAGGAAATTTCCTTCTATTCCTAGTTTGCTGAGAGTTTTTTCATCAAAAAATGAATGTTGGATTTTGTCACATCCTTTTCTATATATTTTGAGACAGTGTAGATTTTCTTCTTTAGTTTGTAAAGATGGCCAATTCCATTGATTTTTTAATGTTAAGCCAAGCTCATATTTCTGAAATACTGTCACTTAGTCATGACATGTTATCTTTTTTATATATTGTTGAATTTGATTTGCTGAAATTTTGTTTGGAATTTTACATCAGTGTTCATGAGGGCTTTTGATCTATATTTTTCTTTAATGTCCACGTCTGATTTTATTATCAAAATAATGTTGGCGATGTAGAATGAGTTGGGAATTGTGCTTTTAGTATTTAATAATTCTATTTCAATTTAGTATTTATATATTTGTATATTTTAGTATTTAAGTTTTTTAATGTTTGTGCTTGACTTTTGATAGTTTTGATCACATTGAGGACTTTTCTTTCTGTTTTCTCATTTGATGCTTTTTACCTATTTTTTTTATTAATGTTCCTTTTACTTTCCTTTCTTAAAAAACAATTCTTTTCATTGGTGTGTCACATGAATGCCAGTGCGCGCTGACTGGCCAAAGCTACATCAACTGGGAATGGGTTCATTTTGATTTGGGATTTTATTTTAATCAGAAATGGCTGCCAAGTTTTATCAAATGATTTCTCAGGACTGAATTAGCGTGATTATATGGTTTTCCTCCTTCAAACTGTTATTTTATGTTGAGCCATCCTTACGTTTCTGAAATAAACTTACCTTAGCTATACTATTCTTTTAAAATGCTGCTTTAATTTGCCAATATTTTGTTTATTTTGATCTTATGAATGAGATTAATCTATATCAGTGTTTCTTAAATTGATATCTATGTATATAGTCTCAGAGATCACCCAGTAAGCATGAGAATTTTAAGATTTTGTGTTCCCATTTTTATGTTATATTTAAAAATTAGTATGTGTATATATGGGATGATAGCCTTACTATTGTCACTTAATTTCAGAAAGTAATGGAAAGAGCAGTGGTAGATTTAATAGATAAATGATATAAATGTCAAACAGAGGCAGACCTAACACATAAATTATGTTATGCCAAATTACTTTACAGTATATTATACCAACAAAGTTGGGTTTTTTAAACAATATTTCAAATACCAAAAATAGTGATAGGATATTTGAGCAGTTGAATAATACATAATAGTACAGGATAGTCAAATTGAAAGGAATTTCCCTGTAATAGGCAGTTCAGAGGTTGTGAGTGGTGATTACTTTTAGCAAAACACACAACCCAATATTAAAATTAGTTTATTAATTGGAATTTAACTGTCTTTAACTGTATTTCAGTTAAAATAAAAGTAAACTGTATTTCAGTTAAAATAAAAAAAAGTTAATAAAAAAGCTGTTTGACTTACAGCTGTATAAGAGCTCATAGACATAAGCTAATTCTACCTAATTTTCTGTTTGTGTATGCATACCTAGGAAACGGTAATTTAAATCAACTCTGGAGGCTTAGGTCTTAATTTCTCTTCAAAAGAAGCCTGTTCATGATTCAAGTTGAAGAAACCCTGGTTATGGTTTTCTTTTTTATTCTACCTTCATCAAAATCTGACATCAGATTAATACTGGCTTCATAAAATGAATTTAGATATTTCCATATATCTCTATGCTTCATATTATAATGAAATTATATAATTATCTATCCTTGTTTGAAATAGAACTTGTCTGGTAATTAGGAATCTCCAGTCCATCTTTTCATGGTAGACATTGAAAAATGATCAGTTTCATCTAAGGTTATTTATTGTTCTGCCCAGGCTTTCTACTTCTAGGATCTACTTAGGACATTCTATTTCAATAAAAATCCATTTCACCCATTTTTCAACTTTTTTTTGACATAAAGTCACACATCATATTTTAATCATTGTTTTATCTTCTCTGGTACCATATCTTCTTTCTCATTCTTACTGCACATCTTCTCTCTTCTTAAACCTGTTAGGGGTTGGTTTACAGTTGTATTTCAAAAACCCACTTTTGGTTATTTATATTTACCAATTTTCTTTTTTGTCTTTTAATTAATTTCTAGCTTCCATTATTGGTTCTTTTTTCTTTCTTTTGGTTCATTTGTTTTCTTTTTACCAGTTTATAAGGTTAAATAGTTTGATTATTTTATCTCTTTCCCATATAATAATATTTACAATAATTCATTTTATTCTGATTAGGATTTTAGCTGTGTATTTTAGGTTTTAACAAGATATGCTCTCATCTTTATTAATCTCCAAATAATTTGCAGTTCTTATTTTCCTCTTTGATTCAAGAGAATTATTTGGAAAAATAGGTTTCTTGAGATTGGATTTAGATAAATGAATAACTATTTACAAATTACTTTGTCAGCTATCTCCATGTTTTTCTAAAATGCTTGAAAGATGATCATTTTATCATTTTAAGACCCTTCCAACTCCAAGTTGGGGTCTGCAGCCCCGAGAACTTGTTAGCCATGCTGACTGCCAGCCCCTCCCCCAGACGTACTTGACCTGACTGCAGATCCAACAGGAAGCCCGGGTGACCTTTATGCACATGAAACCCTGACATCCTTCCGCTGGTTTGGTAGCGCTCTTGTAACAAAGCACAGTAAACTGGGGGGCTTACGCAACAGCAATGTGACGCCCCCCGGCGCTGGAGGTGCAGGCAGTATTGGTTCTTCTGAGGCTGTGAGGGGGGATCGGCCACCACCTCCCTCTTTGGCTTGCTGTCCCTCCCCGTGTCTCTTCGCACCACCTTCCTTCTGTAAGTGTCTGTCTCCGTGTCCTAATTTTCCCTTTTTATGAGGACAGTCTCATTGGGTTAGGGCCACCTCAGTGCCATCTCACTCATCACATATGTAATGACCCCATTTCCAAATAAGGTCACATTCTGAAGTGCTGGGACTTAGGATTCAACATATGAATTTGGGAGGAGACACAATTCACCCCATAATAGTCGTGCTTTACACTATACTGTTGATAATCTGTACAATCAGCAAAGAACAGGTCAGCTAACTGGGGATAACCAAAGCAGGCCTTGTGCAAACTACTTTTACTCTGAAAAAACACTAATAGGTCAGAAAAAAATTTCTGTATAGAAAGACCACAGCAATATCTATCAATCAATTTTAGAGAGACCCATATACACTGGGGTTCTCTTAGGGGTGTACAGTGTCCTCGCCTGACATTGTCCAGGCTCCTTGGCTGTCGAAGTCTCATTCCTCTGGGGGGGTCTCCGTCTGCCTACAGTTTTCTTAAAATTATACACACAGGACTGAGCATAAGAGTAGAGGTGAGATCTGAGGAGTACAAGTCCACCTGGACCATCAGCTCATTCCATTATCTCATTCTCCATGTTATCCTTCCACGACCTCAATTTCACTCCGCCTTTCTCATCAACTTCCCCTTTGAGAACTCAATGACCTTACTGGGATTTAAACCTTTGGATCATTTTCCTACGTGTTTTTGGAAAGCCACCCTCGATGTTTCAGACCCGTGTGCAGATGACAGTTGCCGCCGCGCTTCTCGGGCCTTTTCTTGTTTCCATCCTCTCTCACATTCTCATTCCTTCAAGCGTAACTCCTTCTACTTGGCAGGCATATCTTCGCCTAGTCTTGGATAAAAATGGTGACCAGGAGAAGCCCTCTTCTTCCATGAGAACATCAATTCATGAATGTGCTGAAGGTCTGCCTGGGACACCTGTAGGACTGCCACCAGCAGCCCCTTCCCGGCCTTCCCTACCCAGTCCCCTTGCGCATGGCTGCAGTGGGGACAGTGACTTTGTATCTTGACACCACCCTCTGACCCTGCTCCACCAGCCCGGGAATGGACACCGGAGCCACCCTGGGCCGATGAATCCTTTCCTGTGAATCTGTGAAGAGGAAGTCTTCCCAGTCTCTCCTTGGAGCCGCAAACTGGGAGATGTCCCGACAGCCACATTTCCCGCTCTGTGGGGCAAAGAGGCGGAGACAAGCCAGGTCGCAAAGGGAGAGTGAGTCATGTGATAAGCCCTGTGTGTATATCCACGCGTACTACCCGACAGGCACCGTGCTGAGCATTTTACACTAACTCATTGACTTCTCCCAACCTGTGAGGTAAATTGAGGTAAATTTCTACCACTATTATTATTATTCCTAGATGTAAGACAAGGGCAGAAATGGAGAGTGTCCAGGTAGCTTTCAAGTTTCTGGTTCCAGTTGTTCTCGAAGACTCGGCTGCGTGCCCGTCACTGGGTGTCCTGTGAGGCGATCGGGATCCCTTACGACATGCCCCCCTTTGTTCCTCTTGTACTAGCTCCAACAGGTTCATCATTTCCAATCAAAATAATTCAAAATAAAACCAGATAATGTAGCAATCCAAACGGTAACAGCTACTAGCCAATACTGCTTGAATTCAGCTATTTTTCTCTTATATGTACAAAAAATAATAAAAATTGTCAAATCCTTGGAAGAAATCTAATTACATCACATCTGCTCCATTTCTTTGTTCAACAGACTACACAGATCCAAGAGTAAAGCACAGGTTTCTTTTGAAGATAATACAATAAAGTTAATTGGAACCTCTCAATGTATATACGTTTATTACTCATTCTTGTAATAGAAACTAAAAATAGGTGTAATTTATATTTATGCTATGTTCAGAACAGGACTATCAAAACAGAGTCTCAGGAAAGAGCAATTATCACTGACATTAACTAGTAGGGAATGATATAGAAAAGACTAGGATAGTATCAGAAGTTAAATAGATTTTTTTATCTTAAGTTTTATATTTTAAAATGTACTGTCACCTTATCATATTCATCAGTTAAAGGAATAAAGAGGGAAAAAAAGCAAATAAGGAAAAGTGTTTGAATAAGAACCTGAGACATCTAAGACTTTGAGCTGAATCGTTTTCTTATTATTTTTGCAGGTATCTTCAAAAACCTTACCCAGCCAGTCTCCCTGCCGCCAGCATTGTCATTTGCTTCCACAATGAAGAATTTCATGCCTTGTTTCAGACACGATCCAGCATCATGTACCTCACTCCACACCGTATCCTTGAAGAAATTATCTTAGCAGGACCACATGAGCGAATTTGGTAAGAAAGGGCGCTAATCATCTATCTAATCTACTAGGAAGGTGGTGCTCTCTCTGATGCCACTTGAGGTATTTTACCCAAAGAGCATATTTTGGTGTGTGTTGGGGTGGGCACTTTGCTTGGCGCTATTGGCTCAATGGTGAGGGCGTCAGAGCTGGTCCCTGTCCTTGTGGTGTTGGGCTAATGGGATGGTTAGTTCTTGCACAAGGGAACCACATAGTCTTTAGATGATGTTGACAAACACCAATGATGCTCAGGAAGAAGTGACATGTAAACTAAGGGTGGAGGGTGAGTTGGAGTTGTCTAGATGGGCAGGAAGGGAAAAGTGTTTTAGGCAGAGGAATAGCATTGCCAAGGCTAAGAGGCAAGAACAAACATGGTGAGATTGGATTAATTCTGCATTATTTGTAGTTTATGTATTATGAGTTATAAGTTTACGTGTGAGTATAATGTTGGCATAGAACCAGAGATATAAAAAAGCAAAACACATGCTTGTGAAGGGCATGGTTTGGATTTTATCTGGAGAAAATGGGGAGCTATTACAGGCTTAATGCAGGGGAATGATGTGGTCCAGGTACTTTACCTGGAAGAATTCTAATCAGACCAACTGTAGCGGGGTGCTTATTCCTATGTGCTCACTGGTTTTAAAGAGGTGCGATCACTAATGCAAAATCTATTAACTGTACTTATTTGTCTACTTTACAACTTAATTACGAAACCTGAGGCAAGCCAAGACCACCCAGATCAATGAAAAACATGTTGGAGTCTGCAAGTCCCTGTGCAGTGCATTTCCCATGGAATCGATTTGTCAGTATTAGAGAAGTTTCCTACCTAGAAGTTTACCTTTTCCACTGCAAGTCTGGGGACGAAAAAGAGGAGAAGTAGTGGGAAGAACAGGCAGGGGGAGAGAGGAAGGCACCCCAGGAGGACCCCCGACAGGGAGGGGACTCTGGCCGCCTTAACTCAAAGGCGGAAAGTGACTCAAGCTAATGTCAGCTGCTCTTAGGAATTTCACACACCTGGCCAGCCCTTCTATATGACATCATTTCTGTGGGGGCCACCCGTACTGGAGGGGTAGAGAGCTGTTTATTTCTAGTCCTGTGCATGGGAGGGAACGTGGAGTGATGGCCAGATTCCTTATTTCATCAGCAGCCACATGCTGGGCAAGAAGCCCCCGGTAAAGCCAGGCGCAGGGGACAGGGTGGGACCTTCTGCCAGACTGTGGCGTTCTCACTTCTTGCCCAAAATGACCAGGGCCCTGCGCGGAGAGACAGTTCCGAGAATACCGTAGGCACCTCCCCCGCCCTTCAGGACCACACCCTGCGTTCAGAGACTCACCCCACGACAAGCGCAGACTCGCTGCCGGCATCAGGGCGATTGCGGCTGCTGACCACACGGGGGTGCTGCCAGACCGACACCCGGACTCCTCCCTGCTCAAGGCCACCTGGTCTGTGGCGATCTCCCCCGAGCCTCCAGGGGCTTAGTCTCCGACCCACACCGGAGCGCAAACCCAGGAAGCGCAGGAACTGGGGTGTCTGGGATCTGGTGGAGCTAGGGGCTCTGCTTTTCATTGGCAGTCATGTCCCGTGCGCTCTGAGAACGTTTTTGGGCTGCGGCTTGTCTTTCTCTGCTGACACCAGTAGGCACTGAAGAGGGACTCCCCAGGGAGGGCAGTAAGCGTGGGGCCCCAGGGCTCTGCCCCCAAGGAGTCACAGGGTAAAAGATCCCGCCTTCTGCCAAGGTGACAGTGAACCTGCTTGCATTGTTCCCCAGCCTCGTCATCCAGATTCCAAGGACCTAGGAGTTTAGACCTCTGAGACACCTGCATCCATCTTACTGGAGCCCAGCTTCCTTTACTGGCGGATACCACCCTCCGAATACTGATTGACACTTAGGCACCAGGCTCTGCAGGCATTGCCTCTCCTCACTGTTCTACGAGAAACATGGTGGACACCCCTTTTCCCCAGTGAGGAAACTGAGACTCTAGGGGTTTGAAAATTTGCCTGCCAAGTTAGATGCACTGTTGTTAGCAGTGAAATCAGATTGCTCCAAAGCACCATAGCTCATTCCTTTTCTATTCAAATTTTAATAATGGTTTAGGAAAACAGGCATTCCACTAGAAACATAGAAGAATATTTATACTTGTTTTCAATGCTGAATCACTTCTGTGGAATGGCATGATTTGGGGGACTCAATTAAATTGTGATAGATTAAGTTCTGTAGTAATAGTTTATAAATCATCAAGTGTTGGACTTTTTTTCTACATGATTTGAAAGAAAAACTAGACCATCACCTGGAAATTTTTCTGGGAAAGATTAAGTTAATAAGAAACAAAAAGAGAGAGGGCTTGATTCGAGCAAGGATGATGGGAGTGTCTCTCGCTTCAGGTATGGACATTTCCTTTGGGCCATGGCACAGTGTCCGTGTCACAGAGATCTTCTTGCCATGCAGAAAGCACCCTCCTGGAGACCCGCCATGTCTCCACGGGCACAGAACGTATGCTTGTGTTCCAATCATACGGGTCTTTGACCTTCTGTCTCCAGGTATTCTACTTCAGGTGAAATTCTACCAGGTGAAATGCTGTTTTTTTCACATAGAAGGCATTCTGTTGCAGGGGCCATAATATCATCCCTGTTACAGGATGAGTTGCCCCACATACAACTCTGAGATGGAGTTGTACGTGCAGGGAGCCCCCAGGGGGGCTCTTGGGAGCCGTGTCTGTGAGGGGGTCAGGAAACCAGACTTTATGGGGACAGCAAAGCTGTGGAGAAGCTGCCGTCCCTGAGGAAACTGTACCTGGGTGGGCCTCCGGGATGAATGCAAAGAGGACGAGTTTACTGGGAGGAATGTCCATGAGGGATAAAGGGGCGGATGAAGAGCATGGACCAGAGCGTCTGGTCTGACATTTGTGAAGGGAGAGGGGGACGCAGGAGGTTTGCCTCAGAAGGGCCTTAGTCTGCTGTGTGGCTCTCAGGCTTGGTGGGGCTGGTGGGGAGCCCCAAGCAAAGGAGCCCTGCCCTGGGCTTGAATGGCCTGCCTCCCGTTCTCCCTCCATTGTGCTTAGCCACTGGCTGGGAGTCCCCTGGGGACAGCATGGCCTTGGTGTGAATACTGCAGCAGGTCGCAAAGATTCGGAAGCTGTCAGACCTGCTTCTCAGAGCAGGTTCTCTTGAGGGTGAGCTGAGCTGCCCCCAAAAACGATGCAGAGAGGCCCTGTAGGGAGGCGAGGGGACCAGCCGTGGATGAGGATGGCCCCGCCTGAGAGGAGGGGCAAGGCGGCCCCCGTCCTCTGTCCAGGGCACTTCCTGGGGAGGGACTCGCCTGTGAGCCAGGAGCAGTCGGTACTGCCGGGAGAATGGGTCTGGATGGGGATCTGAGCAGTCAGCTACCAAGCTTCCTGGAAACCTGAGGATCAGTGAGTCACTGCAGAATATTAACCTAGAACCAAAGGAGACAGGTCATGTTTAAGGGCGTTTCATCAGACCGTGCTGCGATCTCATGAGATGTCACACCTCCTGATTGAGTAGAAGGCCAAATAAAAAC